GAATGGCTCAATGGGTTGTTGTTAATTCGAAGTGCCGATGCTGAGGTTCTATTCTCCGTAAGAATAAGTAAGCTTGTTCAAAGCACCGGCTGATGTTGGCGACTTAGATTTCTATCGCCAAGGGATTCATTGGCATATTTATCTAAGCCAGTGGATCGAGTCTAACAATTTAACCATTAATTATGAGGGCTTTTAGCAAAAAAAAAATCTTTTAAAACCTTTTAAATAGATTTTCATGTAATATAAAATTTTTGCGACAATTTCTCCACCATTTTTGAATTTTTATAGCTGATATCTGAAAATGGAAATTAGTTTAAGCATTACTGTAGTCGATATGCAATTGTAGATTATTGGAATAGAATAGCTTAGTGGGTTGTCGCCCGATTCGGAGCACTGATGCTGTAGTTCCATTTCCAACAGGAGTAAACTTGTCCAAAAATTCAGGTAACGCTCGCAAGTTAGCTGTACTTCTATTTCTACGGGACTCCCTGGCGTATTTGTCTAGTGCGACACACCAGAAAAACGAATGGCGAGTTTTTAAAAAAAAAAAAAAATTGGGTGATTCGATAAAGACTAGGGAAGGAGTGGGTGGGGGGAGGGGGGAGAGGAAGGAGAGACGAAGGAAATCAAAAGTAGAAAAACAAGTTCAGTTATAATCAATCCTTGAATGCTCTCATGACAAATATGCGACAAAGCATTAGTGGAAAAAGTGAGGATGATTGGAAAAATTACAGTTGGTCTTCAAAAACTGAGGCCATAGAAAGGAACTTAGATTTATTTATGGTAGATTAATGGTAGATTAAGGCAAAGGAGTATAGCGGCAATTAGAGAAAATTAAGAGGGTATTCGATATAAGATAGATTTTTCATGAATCTTCATGAAATATGGATATTAAAGGATTTTTTTTATCGAGTATTACTGGGTTATAAAAAAAAAAGTTTGGCAGTGTGCGATAGTAACATAACTGCCGCTATACTCCTTTGCCTTAATTTGCCTTTGCGTTTGATATGACAGCAACAGCATAAAGAGATTTTCTACAAAAGAATATAATATGAATTGAAAAGAGAAAAGAGAATGATTTTGAAGGTTGAAGAGAGGGTCTTCTGAAGTACACAAAGGACTAGGTAATGTGATATTTAAAGGACAAATACAGAAAGGCCATAGAATGGCTCAGTGGATTATTATTTAATTTTCTAAAATTCTACTCCCCCATAGGAGTAAACTTGTCCAAAAATCTGGATGACATTGGCGACTCACCTGCACTTCTATCGCCAAGGAACCTTCTGGTGCGATAAGCCAGCCGAGCTAGTCTAATTAGTAATGGTGAGAACTCTTTAAAAAAAAAAAAGGACTAATGCAATTAATGAGGTTTTTTGGCAGGCATTGTACCAATGAGATTTGATAAAGAGTGTTAAGGAAACGAAGGATTTCAAGATTTATTTCCATACGTGCATTAATTGTTCATTTTCATAGTCTTCAGCAGTTTTCATCAGTTCCTTGCTTATCGTTCTACCTAAAAATCATTAAAAAAAAAAAAATTATCATTTTTTATCATTTCGTGAATATTTTAACTGAATGGAGAACCTAAAATATTGGTACTAGAAATTCATCCACAAATTTTTTCTTCTTTAGTATTCTTCAGTTTCTTAAAAAATTTTCAGAATTTAAAATAGTTATGATTAAACCTTCTTAAGATTTTCACCTATGTTAAAAGTACCAATTTGCAGTTTTTCTACACAAGAATATATCTCAATTTTGCACACAACACCACCTATATTAGCTAATGCTTCAGTTATTTATCTTTTGTTACTGCCTCAGAAATTTTCCAGTTTAAGCTTGAAAAGCATCTCTACCATATTTTCACCAATAAAATATCTGAATGCTGTGACAAATATAATAGCACTGAGAGTGCAATAGCAATGAATCGAGTACCACTATCAAGGACATCTCGTATAAGCGAACTCATAGCGTGTGGGGGAGGGGAGGTGCAAATAGTACTAAAAACCTCTCTTCTCTTCTAATAAAAAGCCTAATTATTAAAATGTACATAAAATTTGAATTAAAATAAATAATTAAAATTAAAACTGAAATTATGCGATGAATTAAAGCGTTTTGTTACCTTAGTAACATATCAACCAATAATAATTTATTCTGAAAAAGGTTTTCAAAAAAGATTTTCCTAAACGAAAATGCAAACTGCCTTTTTGCTAGACAAGTACCCCTCTTTTTTTGCACTAATTAATTAAAATTTCATTCTCTAAGAATTGACGAATAAGCAATTTCGTAAAATATCCTCTTAATTTAATCCATTTGACCTGAAATAGAAACTAACTCTCCTTTTTGTAACGGCAATAGGTTTTATATCAGTGCGGTACTTTCCCTTCATGGTACCATACCATTTTCCCTATTCTGAAATCTATCGATAACTGAAAATCATCTATGGCCGTAGCGTCATAAATTATGCGGTCGGCTGTGGTTTTAGTTGTTCGTTAATTTGTTGCTAATTTTTTTTTCTCAAATTTTTTTCAATTTTAATTTATTTTGAATTTATTTTTCGCACAAATTGCGCCAATAATTATTTTATTATTATTTTTATTATTATTATTTTTTAAATTTTTCGAAATTTTTAATTATTAAATTTATTTATTTATTTTTTTTCATTAATAAAATTTCACTGATTTCAGTTAATTTGAATGTTACAAGAAAATGATAATCAAATTCTTGAAAAGTTCGTTTATTATTATTTTCGTTTATTTCACTCAATTTTTTATTTTATTTTATATGAAAAATAGCAAAAAAAGAAAAATAATCATTTTTCAAATTTTTCTAATAAAAAAAATTATTTTTCTTTATTAAAAGTTAAAAATTTATTAAATTTAAATATAAAAATTATTTTAAAAAATTTGAAAAAATAAAAATATTAAAAATCTAAATTATATAAAAATTTTATTCTTTCTATTTTATATAATAAATTAAATAATTCTTCTTTAAAAAAAAGAAAAAACGTAAAACATTTAATAGAAATTAAATTGAATAGATTCATTTTCATTTTAATATTATATATTTAGTTCTTTTTTATTTTTTATTTTTTTATTTTTATTAAAAAATAAAATTTTGATTTTCATTCGTTTTTTTTTTTTTTTTTATTATTTTCCATACGTATTTGTTGCATTTTATTGCATTACAGCGTTCTTCTTTTCATAAATCTTAAATTATTCATTAGTCAATTTTTTTTTTTCAAGTAAAAATAGTTATTTTTTTTTATTATTGTAAATAAAATTAAATTATAAAAGTAGAACAGCCAAAAATAGCTAAGCACGTAGCTATTTTTTTTGATAATTTTTTTAATTTTATACTTTTTTTTTTAAATTTAAAAATGAAATAATTTTTATTTTTTTATAAAAATAAAATAAAATTTTTTAGAAATGTAAAAAATGTTGAAATAGACGTGCATTGCGTTGAAACGGCGATTATTGTTGATTATGAAGTTGAAGCGTCAATTATTGGAAAAAAATCATCATCGAAATCAAAAAATTGCCGTAAAATGTTCGTTTTTTTTTTTTCTTTTAAATAAATTTTTATTTATTATCATTTTTTAATAGCTTTCATTGGTTCGATTCGCTCGGCTCGCTTTACGTATTGCGTAGGTGAATCGCCCAGTATAATTCGCCAGGATTTTTGGACAGATTTCCACTCTTGTGGAGAGTGTAAAATTCAGAGTATCGCTGTTTCGAATTTAGCTAGCAACAACTCACTGAGCTTATATTTCTTTAGAATACTTATTAATGATTTCTTAATAATTTTTTTCAATCAATCAATGAAGATTAATTTATTGATTAATAAAAAAATTTTTTTTTTTTATTGCAAAGAGATATTTTTAAAATTTTTCATATTTATTACACATAAATATATATATTTATTTATTGTAATATAATTTAGGATAATTCGAATTTTTTAGCATTCGTTTGAGAGATTTTACGCCAAATGTCGATATTTCAATGCTTGCACGATACATTATTCAACAATGCCCAATAATTGGTGAACATCGATTTATTGAACTTGAACAAATTCTTTATTATCTTCAAAAAAGAAAGCAACAACCGCAATCAGGTAGTTTTAATTCGTTTAGAATTTTAGAAAATTATTAGAAGAATCTTCTAAAGTTTTGCTCTTTATGCTTACGACATTTAGAAATAACTTTCTTATCAGTGCATTTTTGCTCTCTTATCAGTGACGTTCGTTTGTCAACACCTTAAGTGTAACATAATATGTTTTGATCATAACAATCGGTTATATCAACTAAGAATATGTAGAAATACGTTGCGTAAATCCTGGCCTTACCATATGTAATATCAGTTCACTTAGTTCGAAGGCTATTAATTTCAACGATAGAAGTCGTTATGATTTTTGTTTAAATTCATTACTAGAAGGAATGGATTTAAGATACTCAAATTTAGTTTTAATTGCACTATACTACAATTTATACTTTAGAAGTATTCATTGTTGGAGAAAATTATATAGGGATGTTGTTTCTTTCAAAAACTTTTTCTATAATTATTTATTTTAAGGAAATATTTAGTCTATTGATAGAAGTTATAATTTATAATTTATTTTTTTTCGCTTTTATTTTTGTTATTAATTGTTTTTCCTTTTTATTTAAAAAAAGAGAAGATTTATTGCTTTTAGCACCAATATATGACATTTAACTTTGTTTAGTTCTTGTAAAAATGATAAATAATGAAATTTTCCGGTCATATTTATGTCTTTTTTATTTTTTATTTTTTTAAAAAGAATGGACTTTTTATTGAATAAAAATTACCATTTATTTTTGGTTTTTTTTTCATTAAAAAATGAAAGTGAAATTTTCAGAACCTTCTTCAGTGTTACCAAATGAAAAACTGATGATATCAAAAGCTAATATCAGTGAGCTTGAGGTGATTTTTGCCCTATCCAATATCAATTTTCTTGAGTAAAATTAAAATTTTTTTTTCATTTCATATTTTATACTATATATTTTATACTATACATTTATTGACTTCCAGAAATATATCGAAATGCTTTACGAAGATATCGCAGAACAAACAAAAAGTACTGCTATGTTGTTGCAATTAAGTAAAAATAGTTCGAATATTCGACAATTGCTTGAAAATGGTTCCTTATTTATTATTTTTCTCTTTAACATATTGCTTAATAATAATTTAATATAATTTAGAATAATTTTTTTCGTTGATTATTTATTGAATTATTTTAAATTGTAGTATAGTGGAATTATTTTAATTATTTTAATTATTTGAATAATTATTTGAATTATTTTAATTAGTTATGGTTAATTTTTTTTTATCTATCAAATTTTTTTGCTATTTTCAATTTGATTCAATTTCAGAGGTATTAATTGGAGCGTTAGCACGAATTCTTTACGATGACTGGAAAAAAAGTTTCGATTTAGCGACAAATATTACTTCCATATTTTTGAACTTTTCATTCTACAACGATTTTCACCCGATCCTTGCCCATTATAAAGTTAGAATTCAATTGTTCTAATATTTCAATATTCTTTTAAAATATTTCAATATTCTTATAAAAGAATTCAATATTCTTTTTCTTCGATTTATTTGAAATTTTAAATTTGTTTAATAGTTCAATTATTTATTGCATTATATTTAGCATTATTTTCGTTATTATTTTTGAATTTAAAATGTCCCATATGCATTTTCATTAATAGCACCAGCGATAGGTAAGTTGCCGAAATTGCAACCGTTTGTTGATAATATGCTGAATTTATATTTTAAGATTGGTACGGCATGCCTTCAAATTACGGAATATGAATTGAAAAGATGGGATATTTGGAAGAAAGAAATATCGATAGATTACTCCAGTGAACAGCGTAAATGGATTATAGCAATTCGTAAACAGCAGATACTTATTTCAGGTGATTTTTAAAATTTTTCTCGTTCTCTTTTCTTATTTTCAATCATTTGTGAGTTTTTTCATTTGTGTTCTTATGAGTTCTTCCTTTAGTTATATATTAATTTTTCTCATGTTTTCATTTTTACATTTTACACTTACATTCGAGTAGAAATACTCAGAAATTTTTCTTCTTTTAAAATTTTTTTTAGTTTGCTTGAATCTACTGCTAAATATGACTGAAGATATAAAGGTTGAAGTGAAATTGGTGAGTCGGAAGATTGTTGCATTATTATTGAAGTGCTTGTCTGACAGGAATGCTTGTCTCGAACTCCTCTTAGTATCCGTTAATTTCTTGCTGAAATTGAGTTTATTCGGTGAAAATGTCAAAGAAATGGTACGTTAAATTTTTTAGCGAAATAAATCTCTGCATTATTCGTTATCTTGCTTATTCATTTATTTGTTTTCTTGTTTGATATTTCGTTATTTTTTAGAAAAATCATCGAATCGTGGAATTGCTTGCAACATTATTTCCCATTAAAAATGATTCTTTGCGGCATGTTGTTATTCGTCTACTTTTTAATTTATCATTCGATTCTGATCTTCGAAATCAAATGGTAGCATCTGGTATTGTTTCGCAAGTGGCTCCTTTTCTTGAAGGTAGATTCTACTTTTTAAAGTTTTAAACTATTATGATCGCGCAAACATCTAATCTGCACATAGTTTTCTGCTTTCAAATTGTTGAAAATTGTCAGTGCAGTTTTTTTTAAAAAGTCCTCACCATTACTGGTTAAACTCGCTCCACTGGCTTGTCACATCCAGCAATATACCAGAGACTCCTTTGGCGATAGAAATACAGGTGAGTCGCCAGCACCGCTCGGATTTTTTGCAGGTTTACTCCTGCGGGGAATTTAACCTCAGCATCGGCGCTCCCAATTGAGCAATAACCCCACTGAGCCATTCGATCTCCAAGTGCAGTTTTATGTTTGGCAAAAGAATTTTCAGTCTCATATATTTTTATGTTTTTATATGAAACTTTAACTTTAATATTTAAAACTTTATATATATTTCTTAAAATATACATATTATCCACTGAATTTTCTTTTTTTTAAATATTGATTCAATTTATGGCTTCAAGATAATGAAACATGCGTGAATTTGTTGTATCAACTGAGTATTAATAATGATGCAAAAGCAATGATTACTTTTACTGATACAATTCAAGTGGTTAGCGATTTTTTTTCAGCATTTATTTTTATTAATCTTTAAAATTTTATGAAAATAACCAAAAACTTAGTTAAAATTGCTGTTATTTGTTATTTTTAAATTTCTTGCAGTTTAAATACTATATTTTTATTATTTATTCTATTTTATATCTATGTTAATTCAGCTAATGCGATATTTATTGAGTAATCAAGCCACTGATGTGATGAAGGCGATACTAATTAATATAGCCCTCGAGAAAAGGAATGCGCAGTTAATTTGTGGTCAGGAAGGTCAAGGTCTTGATCTATTAATTGAACTCGTCTATGAACAAAAAGATCTTCTAATTTTAAAAATCTTACGTAATATCGCTTCGCATAGTGGGCCATCGCAGTCTATGTTCAATGTAATAATTTTTTTTTTTTAAATTTCAAGTAAGCGATAAAATAGTCTACAATCAAAGTACCCTTATTATTGCATAGAATTTATTTATGATACCTTCAATAGCTTAGCTGTTAATTCATGAGTTGAAAATCATTGAATTTATTTTCTCAAATTGTTTGTTATAGAAGTGGGTGCCACGTCTTCTTCATTCTGCAACCAAATCGCAGGAAAATGGAGAAATTGATTATTTTTCTAACTGGTTTAATCTGGAATGCTTGCGGATAGTCAGTCAATTGGACAGCGTAAATTGGCTTTCGCTTATTAATGAATTTTCCCTTATTGAATGGATAAAACAGAAATTGAATCCTGATACAGTAAATGAATATGAAGATGATTCGGCTCTCCAGGTACTATGCTTAGTTAGTTTAAATCTTATAGCAGCGTAATATTACGAGGTTTCGAGATAGTTTTTTTTTCTCATTATTGGTTAGGCTAGTTGTGCTAAATACAAAGGTCTCCAATTTTTCTCATCTAAGTTCATATTGCCGGTTCACATATAGGTTATGTTTATTGATTGTATCATTCCAGGTCTTGATTAGCCTTTTTCGCTTTTGATGCTATCCATCACAGTATTTAGTAAATAAAGAAATATATGTAAACTCCTGGGGTGGGCAACGAAAAGATTAGATATCATATTGGTTTATATCATGTAATTTTCGCCTATCGTTTTTCTTTGAAGGTAGTAATCTTGTGTGGAACAATGGCACGTCAACTTGAAGCTGCTCGTCTTCTTGTTCCACTTGCTGATTATTTTACAGAACTGCTCTCAGGTAATTTTATTTCTCTCAAACAATTTTTGTAGAAAAAGTTTCCTTTATTTTTAGCTCAGCAAGAAGATGATGAAATGGTTATGCAAATTGTTTATGTGTTTTATACAATTATTATTCATGAAGAACTTAGTGAAAGTTTAATGGGTGGAAGTGCACAAGTTGGTGCATATTTGCTTGATCTGATGCATGACAGTAACGCACCCATAAGCGCGATTTGTGACCGTGCATTAACTATTATAGCGGTAAGACTTTTTTGTTCAATGAATTAAATTAAATTGCACATTTTAAAATTAATCTACTGGATATTACGGCGAAAATTCTTGCCCTTCTCTTCTTTTTATTGAATAGATTCATGTATGTGATAATAAAACTAATGCTTTAACTAAAGGTGAGTTTCGGGTAGGCTGTGAATCTGCTGACCAAATATTCGCTGTAGGAAGGGAATATAGTGTAATAGAGATAGTAAATACTGATATAATATACCATGTTATATACATGGTATATATAATATACCATGTTATATACTCTCAGGGAATGTTTCACAGCTATATTTGCCCAATAAAATGAGGTATCTGCGATTTCTAATTTTGATATTGTTTTAACTATCTCACAAAGATTTTGACTAGATGGGAAAGAACATTTTTAGTTGTAAATATTTGGATCTGAGGAATATGCTTACTTTTTGTGCAATCTTTGCATCCGTCTTCGCAAGAATACTATCTGCATTAATATTTTATTGCAGAAAATATTGCCCACCTTAGGCTATATTTTTCGCTATAGATCATAAGAATTGGTACTATTGTCCAGGACTGTTGATGGATGATTAAATATCGAAAAAATGAAGGCCTGGATTAATCAAGAAAGATTCTGAAAATTTAGACATTTTCGAAAAATAAATGGCGGCAATCAATGATCTCTATTAGAAAAATAATAATAAAACTAGTTGAATCCAGTGAATATGGACAAAAATTTTTTTTCACTTATACTCAGATAATCATTAATCATTAATACAATAAAATTTAGGAGCGCAGTGAAGAATGGTCAAGAAAGATGGATATTGAGCGTTTCCGTTGGCATAATGCGCAATGGCTTGAAATGATCACTGCGAACGGCGACATATTAGGCGATTCAGCTCAATCCGATTCGTCTGATATCTTTTCTGATGTTCTCGGTGCTGAGGACTTACTGGATGATACATTTCTTAATGCAGATTTTAATAACCAATTAGAATACGATTTTTAATTCATATTTATTTACCTATTTATTTACCTTTACTTTATAAAACTTATTGTTTAAATTGGATAATTTCTGTTCATTAGTTCGTTAATATCGTTAATTTATTTTTTAAAAAATAATTTATACAATATTCTTTATTGTCTTATTTATGCTCTATTAGATTACTGTGGTAGAGTTTTAAGTTTTAAGGTAACTGTTTAGCTTTTTGTGAATCCTTGATAATATTGATCGGTTATCACCATTTATCAACATATCAGTATAACTCAATATTAATTCAGTATTCAGCTCCCTTTGTATATTTGTTTATTTGTATGTACATAATTAAAAGTTTAATAAATGATTTCTCAATTTATTTTTCATTGTGATTAACAACGGTACTATGGAATAAGTGACCGTTTTTGAAATATTTTACATAATTATTTTCTCCTAAATATTTTATTTGTTATTTATTTATGGATTTTAAGTAAAGTTTTGGTAGTTGAATAGTCCATTAAACTGAAAATTGAGGAAACTGAAAATCGGAGGATTGCTTTAAGAACCGAGCTTAACTCTAGTCATATCATTTGAATCCATTATTATTTTAACACTCTTGGTTTATGCACTTATATATTGATGAATAGTAAATAGTATCGTACATATTGATGGAAGACATCGGTGCAGATAAGTGCACTTCCCAGTTTTTTAATTTTATAGTTCATTAAAGAAACGCACTTGGCTATAAGCATACGTGTAGGATTAGAAAGTTCTTCTTCCTCTAATAGCCCTCACCATTACTGGTTAAGCTGGCTCCACTGGCTACAAGAGTAAGACGTCTCCAAGCTGCCCAGTCCGACGCCATCGGTAGTAATAATAGAAGCCATTCCTTTTTCCATCGTTTAAATCTGTATATCGCTGGTCCCCCTATACGTTCAAAATCTTTCCTGATTGTATCATTCCATGTTCCTCCTCGCTTTTGACGCCAACCATCACAGGGTTTAGCAAATAACGAAATATGCGTCAACTCTTGTGGTGGACGTGTCCTAGGGAACAGCGAAGGAGACGTTTTGTGATAATATTATTAAAGGAGATATTTGAGCGAAGGTGGATACAATCATATGCAATTTTATCTGCTTGACGGGTCCGTAGAATGTACCTTAGACATGAGTGGTCAAAGGCTAATCGCTTTTTAATATCGTCCACTCTCATTGGCAATGTTTCGCAGCCATATAGCAAGATCGAACGGATTGCAGCTATATGGACGCGGATTTTCGTCTTTATGAGATTAGAAAGTTGATCGTTTATATTTTTATTATTTATTGATGACGATTTTTTGAGCATATTTTTTGAAAAATATTGAAGGATTTGATATGGGTGGATTAGTGATTGATTGGTCAAATACTAATGTACGTCAAGCATGTATTGGGGCAGCTGCTTGTGTTCTATGCTTATTTTTTCTTATTGGATGTGTTTCGGTTACGCGATCATTAGTACTAACTTCAGCTGCATGGTTATCAGTCTTCTCATTTTTTTCTCTTATATCATCTGTAATTTCATTATCAGTAACGCATAAACCATCGGCGAGCTATACGTTTGGATTTGCACGTGCTCCCGTTTTAGCTGTTTTTTCAACAACGGTTTGTATTTTAATTTTCCTCCATTTTTTTTCTAAAATTATTTTTTAAATTATAATTATAATTGTAATTGTAATTTAGGATTTCTAAAACTGTGAATAAATTTTTCATTCATTATTTTTGAATTTTCTTAAAATAATTTTAAATGTTATTCTTGCATAGAAATAAGGGTAATTCTGGATTAATCTTTTTTATGGTTTTTCAAATTATTTAAAATTAATTTTTTAGATGATTTTTCTAAAATTCTATTCTAAATGTATATATTTTTATATTAGATTTTGATTATTATATTATATATTTGATTATTATATTATTAGATTATTTTTTTTAGTATTTTTGATTCATTGAGAATTAAAAAATTTACGTATAAATCTTATTTTATTTTCTTATATATCTAAGCTTAATTTATACTAGTTTTTATAATATATTTATTATATATTTATATTTTAATTTTCCTCACAAATTTTGCTTTGTTTTTATTGATTCAAAATATTCTTTTTGTTAAAAATTTCAAATACTAAAAGAAATTGTCGAAATAATTTTTTCTTCATCTGCGACTAGTTTGAGGAAATTATTTATTTGTTGTTTATTGCATAATTTTATTTAGATTTCCTCACTTTCTTATTAAAATTGCTTCCTTGATTGCTTTGTTGTTTTGAAATTAATGGTTATTGGCTAAAAATGGCTCTAATCATATTTAGTGAAATATTTAAATAAAGAAAAATTTCAGGTACTTGCTTCTCTATCGTCAATTTTTCTTGTAAAAGAATGCGCTGAACATCTTTTGGAAGGTGATCATCATTTACATTCACAAGGTTTATATTTATTTGGTGCTATAGCGGCTTCAGTATCATTAGAAATTGCTGCCTATGGTGTTCGAAATCAACCCATACAACACGTGATAACTGCTTCAAGTAGTTCATCTTTACAGGTTTTTTTTAGTTTCATTTAATTATTTGGTTTTGGTAAAATATATTTTATATATATTAATAGCGCTATTAATATTTTAATGACTATTATTCAAGGAACACTTCGCTGATGTATCACATGCAATTTGTTACTTGATTCCTGGTTTAAGTGCTTTCCTTTTGCCACGACTGAATGCTTTGACAATTCTTGCGTTTTTAACTTCTACTGCTTGCTTTATTACGCATTGGTTGGTTGTTGTTTTTTTCTTATTATTATCGCTCTTCCACTTTTTAAAAATTGAATTTAAAAAAAAGCGTTTTTAGGTTTAGTTCAGAATTATGGTGGATTGATGCGGCTTCAGCGCTGATATTATCAATATGTGTTTTTATTACTATGTGGCCATTATCTAAATATACTGGTCGAATCCTTTTGCAAACTTCTCCACCACATGTTCATAATCAGCTTGATAGGTAATATTATCATTGGTTAAACATGTTAAATGCGAATGCGAATAAAAATTTTTTAGATGTATATCAGAAGCATCAACAATTGATGGAGTACTCGAATTACGCAATGCGCATTTTTGGCAGTTAGATTTTTTATCAATGGCTGGAAGTGTTGATGTACGTGTAAGACGTGATGCTGATGAACAACTCGTCCTCACTCGTGTCACTGAAAAACTTTCGTCTGTAGTTTCGATACTTACTATTCAAGTAATCAATTTTCATTTTTTTATTCATTCGTTATGGAGATTTATTTAATTAAATCTTTTTCTCAAATAGATTTGTCATAAATTTAAATAATTTTAAAATTTTTTATTATTTTTTATTAAAACTTAATTCTATATAATGGTATGTTTCCATTATATTTTTATGCATTATTGAATAGTTTTAGTATTTAGCCATCGATTTATTCTATTCTAGTTATTGGAATTAATTTCTTTAAAGATTGTTTTATTTATAGATCAGTTTATAGATCGTTAAGGATACAGGCATTTCGTGGCACAACCAAAATAAGGCTTTTATTTCACATATATCTTCTTCTCCAAACCTTTCTACTATAAATATTTCTCCTAGTGGAAATGAAAATGCGGCTTTAATTTCTCCCCAAATTTATTATAATTCACACCATATATTACATGAACATGAGCATAAGCATGAACATGAACATGAACATGGACATGGACATGGACATGAGCATGAACATGGAGATGGACATGGACACAGACATGGGCATGAACAGGTGGATGGACATGGAGCTGTGCATGATCCTCATGTAACACATCATTAATTTATGATGATTTATAATTTATTATAAAGCGATAATCATGTTTGCTTGTATGATTATTTTTATTTATTTTTTATTATTTATTTTTCCAATTATATACATAATTATTTATTCAATTATTTGTTTTCTATTTTAATATAACTCGTCATTCGATTGCATGTAATATTTGCAATTTTTTGGTTATTCTAAGCATTCCTAATAATATTCACCAATTCTGGTTTGTTTGGCGTCAGGGATAGCTTTTTACCCTTCATCAAAGAATAACTTGGGGGTGGAATTATAGATTTCGCCTGAGTTTTGCCTTAATGTTGGGTTAACTTTGGAACAAATCGGAACAGCCTTTGATGGCCAATGCAACCATATCCTTGATGGTCCATTAATATATTTATTTGTTTTATATATTTTTTATTTGTTATATATATTTTTTTAAAGATCCGAAATTTCCGAAAGCTAATTGTTGTATATTAATAATTCAATAAATATATGAAAATATAAAATATTATAAATATTGTTTTGAATTCTTGCATTAACTATTGTATTGTTTGTTTGTTGTTTGGTTTCTGTTAGGTTTGTGATGTTTATTTTCTATGACCTTTACTATTCATTGATTTGATAATAATATACTTTTATAATATACTTTTATAATATAATAATATACATTTGTCTTGTTTTGTAAAATAAAAAAATATTCTTTTCTTTGATTGAAAAAAGAAGTACTATTCATTAAATATTTATAAAATTTTTAAGTCAGTTATTTTATTATATTAAAATTTTATTTTTTCTCCTTATTTCTGTTTTTTTATTAATTATTAATTAATTACAGATATTTATTAATAATTTTTTATTAATTAAGGATTTAAGATTATTCGATAATTTTATTAGCATTAGTTGTCTAGTTTTTCGAAATATTTGGTCATAGTTGACTGTGTAAATATGTCGAATACTCTATGGTACTCGTATATATTTGCGCCAAGGAATACATTCACATTTACATTTTTTAAGGTTGAAAGATTTTAGATGTTTTTGTAGGAATAGAGGGATTTTAGAAAAAAAGGGAAAATTCTTTGGAAAAATCGGGTTTTGTGAATTTTTATTTCCAAACTCAGGAAATCAAAATTTGCTTATTGAAGCATAGATAAGTATAATTGTCGGCAAATGCCGGGATTTTTAAAAGATTTACTCCTTTTAGGAGTGGAACTTCAGCATCGATGAACATATTTGAAAAGTATGTAAACATTCACAGAGATGTGTTTTCTGCTCTCGAGGAGGGGAATGATGTTGGATATTGTGTGGTACTTATCGTTTTTTCTTCTTCCTTTGTCATTAATTATTCGTATTACGCTTATCATTGTAAATTATCACCACTGTTATCGTTATCATCGTTAGTTTTATTCTTGTATTTCGTTTTTTTATATATTTTTTTTAGAGTTGTTTTTAAAAATTATTTTAAAAAATGCGGCAAACATCAATTCGATTTGCTTTATCGGCTATTAATCGGCAATATTTAATCGAAAAAACGATTCGAGTCGATCATATCGGTGAACTCGCTGCAAATCAAATTTATGCTGGACAAAATGCAATACTTGCAAGTAAATTCCCAATATTATATATTATTATATATTAAAAATATAATATATAAAATATATATTATATTTTTTTGTATCTAATATTTATAGTATTATTACGTTATTTTTTTTGAGAGCGCTCCTCATGCTTCATTATTAGTTAGGCTCGCTGGATTAGTTAAATATGCCAGAGAGTTCCTTGGCGATAGAAATAAAGGAGAGTCGATAATCCAGATAGTTTCGGATAGATATTTTCGGATAATTCGGATTTATTCCTTCGAAGAATAGAACCTCAGTATTGGCGTTCCAACAGTCCACTGAGCCATTTTACTTCCATTATTATATTATTGCAATCACTGATTACAATTAATCTTAATCAAAAATTAAGAATTATCAAACTGAGAGGGAAAAGAAAGAAGAAAAAGGAAATTTTGAAAGAAAATATATATTTCTTAGAATTTTATGCCTTTGATTTATTTAATTTAGAATTTATTTTATTCGTTTAGCGTTAATCTTAAATTTTGTATTTCTTTATTTCTTTTTTATTTATAGATAATTATAGATAAATAAATAATATTCGTAGATAACTGCGGCTAATTTATCACTTTTGGAAATTATAAATTTATTCCTTTCAATGTTTTATTTATACTATTTGTTGCCTATTAAAAGAAGAAGATCCTTCAAAATCTTTTAACGAATTGCTTCTTAGTAAATAGCAAATAGGACAAAATATTTAAAATGTTTGTGTTATTTTAATTTTATTCTCTAGAACAAAATATTTTTTCACTTAAATCCATGAAAAATGCAAAATCATTTTTATCATTTTTTATCAGTTTTTTTAAGGAGATAATATTAGATCAAGGATCATAATTCTAAAAAACATGGTAGATCATGGTAGGTGTTATAAGTGCAAAAAATGATATCAGAAGTAGACCAGGTGCCGAAAAAGTAGACTAGTTTTTTAAATATTATTAGATGGATCTTTCTTTATCAAAATTGTTCTACCTCTACTATTGAATTCAAACATTCATATATAAGCGAGTATATCTTTCTTGATCTTTTGTAATTAAGTATAATAGTGCTATTTATTTTATTTAATATTTTATTTATTTAAAAAAAATACTTTTTAAATATTTATGAGAAAAGAAATTTTAGATAAAAATATTTATTATTTTAATATTTAATATAAAATATAAATATGATAAACTGTATATTTTCAATTATTTTAATTATTTTTAAACTAATTATTTAATAAAAATATAATAAATAGTCTATTATATTCAATATCAATGTAAAAATATTTTAGATAGACCAATATCATCGGTGATTCAGAAAATGTGGAATAGCGAGAAAGAACATTTAAATATTATGGAGCGTTTATGTGCAAAATATGATGTTTCTCCAACTCGACTTACTCCAATACTTAGTGTTATTGCTTTTACACTTGGTAATTATTGCCTTTAGTTTATTGCTTTCACTCGATGGATTTCTTTGTTTTCAGTTGAGACAATAATAATGATAAAATATATAAAAATAATAAAAATAGAATAATACAATAATAAAATAATAAAAATACATAAAAAAATAAAAATAAACTCAAATAAAATAAATAAATAAATAACTGATAAATAAATAACTAAAATAAAATAATAAATAATAGACAATAAAAAAATTATAGGTGCTACAACGGCTGCATTGGGTGAAAAACCTGCTATGGCATGCACTATTGCAGTTGAAGAACTAATTGCAAAACATTACGATGATCAAATAATGAAATTGATTGACGATGATCCTAAAGTGCATAGTGAATTATTAAAGGTATATTAAATAAATATACCACTTTTCCCTTTTATTTTTTTTTCTAATTCTTTTGTTTTATTTTGATCGTTTTTAGGTTTTAAAAAAAAGTTTGAAGGAATTTTTAAAAAAAATCATGTCAGATTTTCTTGTCAGAGTAGCATCAGAGGAAATTTTCTTATCTTTTTGTTCTTCTTTCTTCTTCTAACAGTTCTCAACATTATTGGTTAGACTGGCTCCACTGGCTACAAGGGTGAGACGTTTCCAATCTAATGTTGTCTTTGGTTGTAATAGGTGTGCGGTTCCTTTTTCCATCGTCTATGTTCATATCTCGCTGGTCTTTCTATATATTCAAAGATTTATTATTATGGTTTATTATTATTTGAATTATTACAGATTCTGATGCATTTAAGAGATGAAGAAATTGAACATCATGATGCAGGTGTTGCTTATAATGGCTTAAAGGTTTAACGAAATTTTTTTTTAAATTGTTACATTTAATGTAAATATATTTATTTATATAATCATGTATAGTGATTTAAATCGCTATACCAAATTCTTTTTAATTCTTTTTAATTGCCTTACGAATGCCTTACGAATGAGGCGAATTCTTCTGTTCTGCTATAGCTTCATAAATAGGAGATTCCATACTCAGTTATTATTCTCTTTAGAAAAAGGAGGCTTTTTTTCATATTTCTATAACAATTAATTTTTATTATCATGCGATCTATTGTTTTTTAGAATAGTACGATCGAACTTCTTTTTATTTAATTTCTTACTATATATTAAGCAGCTTCGACTATAAATAAACAATGTATTTGGCTAATTATAAGAACTGCCAATTACTACTAAATGAATGAGAAATTAAGAATAATAATTTAATAATAATAAGTAATAATAAAGAATAATTTCACAAAAATTTCAAAAAAAAATGAAAAATTTTAGAAATAATTTTAAAAAGTACTCTAGCTCAGATTATCAAAAACTATTCTTCCCCTCCATCCTCTTCTGCTTATTTAAATTCTCTTGGAACTCGCAGCGAGCGCATAGATCAAAATGGTTGTGATCAGTTAGGGATATCTAAAACAGATTGTGATGAATTTATTAAATTTGTTTTTTTTTTTTTGTAGGCATCTTACTTTTACCCGATGAAATGGATTATTCAAACCGGATGTAAAGCAGCAATATGGTTAACCGAACGTTTCTGATAACAATGGCTTTGACGAGAAAACGATGAGAGCTAATAATGAATCGCTACAATCATTTATTTGTATATATGCGTATCAACATATTGTAAATCGTATTCAGCCGTACAATGCATATTATTCCGGTTAATTATTTTCCAGTGCTGTTAAGTATATTTTAAAAAGTTATGGAGGAGGAAGGAGGCGAGAGGAGATTAATTCTTTCAGTGTGCAATACTATATACTATTTTGCTTAAACATAGGAGAAAAAGTAAAAAAGGGATGTTCATAATAGTAGTAAATATTTGAGGGATAGAATGGTTCAATGGGTTGTTGCTTAATTCGGAGCACTGATACTGAAATGTTCTACTTCCCGCAGGAGTAAACCTGTCCAGAAATTTGAGCGATGCTACTGACTCGCCTGGGACTATTTCTACCGCCAAGGGATTCCCTTGCATATATGTTTAGTGCGATAGCACTAATCAGTAATGGTGAGAACTCTTTAAAAAATAAAAAATAGCAAGTAATATATATATTCTTGAATATTTCAATAAATAATAACCGATGATTTTATGATGATTTTATCATAAATTTTACCATTTCTTGCAATTTTTTGGTCTTTTTCCCATATATTTTCCCATTATTTTCTTCGGTATTTTCATTTTATTCGTTACCTATTTACCTTTTTTTTTTTTTAAAGAATCGCTATTGTCTATAAAATTGTTATGGTGATGATTATTACTGATTTATTATATTTTTGCTTTTTTTTATCATTATTAATTCGGATTATTTTTTGCAATCGTAGAAAAATTATTAACATTTGGTTTAAATTTAAATTTATAATGAAGCTATGAAAACTTTATTATTTTTCATAGAAGCATAATAGATAAATTAGCATAATAACGAAAATAATGCAAATTTTAACGGGGCAATAATAACTGGCGATAGCAGTGATCATATAAGTCCTCATGAATGAAATATGGATAATTCTTATTCTAATATTCGTCACCTTCTTCTTGTTCACCTTCGGCAGAATCAACACCAACCTATAATAAATAGTAATGATACATACGGCTCGTGGTACCTTCAATAAAATATTTGCTTAGAAGTTGTTTAATTATTTAATTAATCGTATATTATATTATATCTTATATTATATTACATTTTTATATTATATTAAATCCTAGATATTATATTTTGAATATAATATAATTTACTACCTCTTCATAATCTTTCTCGAGAGCGGCAAGGTCTTCACGTGCTTCCGAAAATTCTCCTTCTTCCATACCTTCACCTACATACCAATGAACAAAGGCTCGTTTAGCATACATCAGATCGAATTTATGATCAAGTCTTGCCCAAGCTTCAGCTATTGCAGTTGTATTTGATAGCATACATACGGCTCGTGGTACCTTCAATAAAATATTTTAAAATATATTTCTGGAAACTGATCTCAAATAATAAAGGCTTTATTTAGTTTGATATGATCTAAAAGAAAAAAAAAAACCTTAGCAAGATCACCGCCTGGAACAACAGTTGGTGGTTGATAATTGATGCCAACTTTAAAACCAGTCGGGCACCAGTCAACAAATTGAATACTTCGTTTCGTTTTGATTGTTGCAATAGCAGCATTAACATCTTTTGGTACCACATCACCTCGATAGAGTAAACAAACCGCCATATACTTGCCATGCCTTGGATCACACTGAAATTAATTTTTTTTTAAAAAAAATAACAAGTAAGGAAATTTTATAAAATTTCCTTACGACTAATGAGAAAGAAAATTCAATTTTTAAATCTTAAAATTTTAATGATAAAAAAATGATTAAAAAAATTTTTTATCGATAAAAAAATAAGAAAAAAAACTGTTAACAAATAATTGCTACCTTAACCATTTGATTATTTGGTTCAAAACACATATTGGTAATTTCAGAAACTGATAATTGCTCGTGATAAGCCTTTTCAGCTGATATAACTGGTGCGTATGTTGCAAGTGGAAAATGAATACGAGGATATGGTACTAGATTCGTCTAAAAAGAAGAAAGAAACAAATAAGAAAACTGGACGAAATATTTATAATAATTTTATTATTTACAGGCTTACGAGCGGTGAAAAAAAAGAGTTCAGTAATCTTAAGGAATAGTATGCAGCATCGAGTCGTAGAGGAAGGCTTATCCTATTCTAATCTACTAGTGGATAATTTGAAAAAATACCTGAAATTCGGTAAGATCAACATTAAGAGCACCATCAAATCGTAGCGATGCAGTTATTGATGAAACGATTTGACCGATAAGTCGATTTAAATTCGTGTACGACGGTCGTTCGATATCAAGATTCCTGTAAAAAAATAAAATTTTCCATATTTCTCGAATTTTTTATTTTCCAGATCATTCTACTTCAAATCACTTTGCAACATTAACTCATCATCATAATCATATCATAATTAATCAACTAGTGATTAACACGAATTGAGTAGATCGATGACCAATTATATCGCTTTTTTCCTATTTTGTAGTACCATATGTGAATAGGTTCATAATGCTTTACTTTATTTACTTTACTCAACTAGTGATAAGATAATCTCTTCAAATTTCATTCAGTTTTTTTTTGAAGTCTGAGTGAAAAACAAGAAACCAAGGAATTAAACTAGTAGATTTTTAAATGACTCCGAAGTACCATTACTATTTAGAAATAATAAATAATAAAGATAAATAAATAAGTTGATCATTAAAAACCTTCGACAAATATCATAAATCGCTTCATTATCAACCATGAAAGAACAATCGGAATGTTCAAGAGTTGTATGCGTCGTCAAGATCGAATTATATGGCTCAACAACAGCAGTTGAAACCTTAATAAAGGTAAAATTTTATGAGAAAATCTTATTGCCATAAGATTTATTAAAATATTACTAAAATGGTATTTGTAAATTTATTGGCTGGTTTACTAATCTACCTGTGGTGCAGGATAAACGCTAAATTCCAACTTTGCTTTTTTACCATAATCAACTGATAATCGCTCCATTAAAAGAGAAGTGAAACCAGAACCAGTTCCACCACCAAACGAATGAAATACCAGAAAACCTATAATTATATATTTTCAAATAACTAAAAATAATGAAGAGCTGGAAGGCAGTGGATTGAAGTTAATAATGCTTGATGTTCTTGATAAAATTATTATTATTATTATTATTGTAATGCTTGATAAGATTAGTTATGATTTTTGATATGTTTTGATAATTTAAACTCTTCTGGGCAACTATTTATGGCTAGGCTCGTTTCATTAATAATTAGTAAGATGAGATGATATCTGCCAAAAAATCATCTAAGAATAAATGAGTCCTACGGGTGAGCTAGTATATTAATATGATAGATAGATCTGTTGATATTGGAAGCTAGTAATGCTTGATATTATTGATAAGATTATTATTATTATTGATATTATTGTAATGCTTGATAAGATTAGTTACGATTCTTGATTTATGTTTTGATAATTTAAACTCCTCGGAGCTTCTCTCGCCCCCCTTTTATTGAGATATTCTTTTTTCATTTAATATTTAGATCATTCGAATAGAGCGATAAAAATAAGTAAGGAAATTGGTTCATTAAAATTGGTCATCTTTATTCAATAATTCAGCAAAAACCATAAATAATCTTTAATGCTTATTTTCTTTGCATTTTACTTGTTTCTCGTCTTTTCTTTTCTCATTTTTATTAAATATTTATTGTTTTTCATTTTCATAAAATATTATAAAATGTATTTTATTTATGAATAAAAATAAATAAATAAAATTTGAATAGTTTATGAATTAAAAATGCGTTGCTTTGAAAATTTTCTGACCTTGTAATCCGGAACAATTATCGGACAATTTACGAATTCGATCTAGGGTAAGGTCAATTATTTCTTTGCCAATAGTATAATGTCCTCGGGCATAATTATTTGCAGCATCTTCTTTGCCAGTAATTAATTGTTCAGGATGAAATAACGAACGATACGTACCCGTTCGAATCTCATCTAAAATATATAAATATAAAATATATAGAATTTAACTATATAGCAAAAAAAAAGCATATTTAAATATATCATATAATTTTAATAATTAAAGATAAATTTGTTAAAATATATCTTTAAATATTTTATTTTTTTAATAATATTTTTATAATATTTTTCAAATATTTAAAAATATTTTATTTAAAGTTAATAATTGTAAATGTTTAATAAACATTGATAATTTGGTAATAATTTAATGAAAAATTTGTGATAATATTTGGTGATAATGTTTAAAAATTGAACGGTTTCATCTTTTTTGCAAAATAATAGGTTGGGAAAAAATTATCACACTTTTAAAGTTAGAAATAAAATGAATTATAGATAGGCGAGTTCTTCTAGCCGAGGCTATCATTTTGAATGCTAGAGGAGGAGGATTGTATCCTCTAGACAAAAGTGAATCTATCATTAAAAAATCCGAGTACCAACCATATATTTCTAATTTCAAGTGATAAAAATTGTGATAAAGATTGTCTTATCTTAGCACTAATAGCAAGTCGAATGTCTGGAAAAGTTTTGCCTAATTCTTTCAATATATTTCTGTGAAAAAATCGTTGGTAAAATAAAATATGTAATGCAACTATGCAAAAATTAAAATTGGATAGTTTTTTTTTTTTATTTCATTTATATTCCACAAAATTTTTCTTCTTTTAATAGCACTCACCATTTTTGGATTGACTAAGCTGGCTAACTCACTTAACTGGCAGGACAAGAATTCTTGGCAAGAAAATCCCTTAGGGGCATCAAGTGGATCCTTAGCATTATCAGGATTTTACCTCTGATGATAAGTTTAATCTAGCTAAGAGATAAAAAATGAATCTATGATAGCTTAATTGTTGCAATATGCCATTTTATTATTTTGCTTCTGGGAAGCATTTAAAATTTTTCTCTAAACTCAGTTCTTAAAAAATATTCTTTAAAATTAGAATTCACCGATAACGGTAGGCTCAAGATCAATCATAACTGCTCGTGGAACATGTCTTCCGGATCCTGTTTCAGAGAAAAACGTATTAAACGAATCGTCTCCACAACCGATCGTTTTATCAGATGGCATTTGCCCATCAGGCTGAAAAAAAAAATTAACGACATTGCTTTATGATGGATTAATGGAAGAAATTATGGATAAATCGATTATTCCTATCATTATCACTATCATTAAGCATAAAAAAAAATTAAAAAACTGTTGAAAACAATGAATAAAAAATGAATTATTTAAATTATTTGCAAAAATTCATAAAATTAATTGAATTAATTAGAAATATATCACTATTTTCTTTTGAAAAATATTATAAATGAATTGAAAAAAAAAACGATAATATCTCTAATATGAATTGATAATGAATTGATAAAAACGATAAGAAAACAATTAAGGATAGTACAATTAAGGATATTAATTACTGCTACAATAATTATAACCTGAAAAAATGCCCGAACACTACTCGAAAATGAAGAATAAGAATAAGATTTACCTGAATTCCATGTTCAAGACAATATAATTCCCAACAAGCATTACCTATTTGAACGCCAGCTTGACCGATATGAATCGAAATAACTTCACGCTGCAAAATATTTTTTTTTATTTTGTTAATTTTTTTTTATAATTTTTAGAAACTTTTTAAAATATTTCATTTAGGTTTATAAATTTTAAAGTGAATTATTTAAAAATAGAATAAATTAAAAAAAAAAAGTTTCCGCAATAAAGCAAAAAATGAAAATATTATGGATTTATTATGAAGAAAAAATGAACCAATTTATTTTAATCAATTAAAAATATAATTAAAATAAAAAATAAAAGATTAATATGGTCATTAAATATTTTCATTTATCTACAAATTCAATAAGAGATAAGAGAAATTTTTTCTATTTTAGCCAAATCTATAGACACTTTAGACTAGCCAAGTTTATGAGGAGAAAAATCGATAAGCTATTCATTTTTTGCGAATGCTGGATGTTAATATCTCTTGATAGCGAGATAATAGAGATAATATATCCCTCCAGGCATGGATATATTTTAGATTTATATGGATATTGGCTATAGCTATTGTATGAAAATATTCGCTAAAAAAATCGCTTGCACATAAAATTACAATTGAATTCTTAATATTAGCCAAGAATTTTATCTTATCACAAGAACTAATTTGTGATAGGAAACGAACTCACTATATCGTTATCACTATATTTGAATTAATCGCTGAAGATAACCAACTTATCTTTTCCATTAAAAAAAACTTCTTGATGATATCCACACAATAATAATATCATAAATATTTAATATTTAATATAAATATTTATTTAATATTGCATGAAACCTTATTCGTTTATTCAATAGAAGAATAGAAAAAAATTCTTTATTTTTTGAAATTTTGATAAATGATAAGAACCACTGATAAGAATATAAACAATTTCGAAAGTATGGATGAATTAATGGATAAATTGGATTAAAAAAAAAGGTATAATAATATTATAATGGAGAAATTCCTAACCATGTTATCGTTGACGACGACGAAGACGACGACGTTCGATCAAATACTGAAAAAGAAAGGAATGAGTGAAAAACCAATATTCTCAAATACTCTAGCCTAATGCTATCTTTTTCGTTCTTCTTCTCATTGCCACATCCATTTTAAGTCCATTTTCTATAGGAAAATTTTATAAAGGAGGATTAAATGCTAAATTGGAAAATATTCCTCTTCATCAATATCAAATTTTGCATGATTTGCATGATATTTCTTCATTAACCTATAAATTTAGAAATGAATGCTGAATATTTCTATTTCCAATAGAAGGCCTAAATTTTCTAACTTTCAAAAATCTTAATGAAATTTGACGATTTTACTTAATATTTTTGAAATTTCTAAATGAGCGCTTAACGAAATTTCTCTAATCCGATAAGCCAGAAATACAAATATATATTATCAGAACTGATATTATGATAACTGATAACGAACTAACGAAATATAATTAATTAATTTGCATATTAGTTTTTCTCATAGAATTGTTTTCTCATATTTGTAATATAAATTCTGATAAATATGCATAAAGCACTTTAAGCTGACAACTCATAAATTTCTACTTCCCATAGAATCGAGCTTCGACTGTAATCAATCATAATGGTTTCGACTCGTGCCTCTTTCACAAGAATAAATCTATTCAAAATCCTCGATAATGGTACTCTCTAATGGAAGGGTTTATCCTAACGATTAGTGGAATGAGCCAAATATTGAACGCTGTTAAAAAAAAAAAACATAGTATTGAACAATTTTTTTTCGTGTTTTAATTAATTAAAATTATTGAAGATCTTTTTTTGTTAATTTTCAATTTATTTTTTTTGTCAATAAATTTTTCCATGAAAGTTTATTTTTATGAAACAATAAATAAATTTTTTTAAATTTCTAAATTTCACTAAAAAGATTTATTGAATATTTTTCTTGCAAATCTAAGAGTATATTCTAAAAGAAAAATCTACAGTAATCTACCAATAAATGCATAGAATGGTTCAGTGGGTTATTGCTCAATTCGGAATGATGATGCTGAAGTTCTACTCTCCACAGGAGCAAACTTACCAAAAATGTGGATTATGCCTAGCGAGAGTTCATCAAGAGACTTCTTGAAATATTTGTTTAATGCGATAAGCCAGCCGTGTGAGTCTAACCACAAATAGTGAGGATTCTTTAAAAAAGATCTATACTAATAAAATCCATTTTCCAATATTTTTTTCTTTCATAGTGCTTTTATTCAGAAAAAAAAATTTCTATAATTCCAATTGGTTTGTATTTCGAAAATAAGGCGATTAGCGCTCTCATCAACTTTCCTATAGGTTCGCCTATTTTTGTACGATTTTGCAAATTACAACCGCAATTACAATAATCAAAGAAGTCTATATATGATATAAGTTAGGAACGAGAAATAATAAAAATTATCAAAAATGGTATAAATGGACGAAAATGACAATAAATTTGGTGCTATGGTGTAATTTTTTTAGACAAAAGTTATCCTTGAAGAAAAAAAGAAATATAGAATATTAAATAAATACTATATATTAAATATTAAAATTTTTTCATAGCCTATATAAATTTTTTATAGCCTTTTAATTTTTTGGCCATTGAGGGTGATAGAATTATCAATGGATGCATCTAAATCTATTCGCAAGTGGCAGCATAGTAGCACCTCTCACCTCTCTCCGCGGTTTTCCCCCTACCTTTTCTTTAGCAATAGACTTTTATTAAATATAAAATAGCTAATGAAGTGAATTAAACCAAAAATAATGGAGTTGCTTTTAGATGAAATTTTTTCTAAATATAGAAAAAAAAAGCTCTATTTTGTCTTTTAAATTATCGTTTTGCTGGAAAAAATATTTGTCCTTCAAAATTTCATTTTTATTTGAAAATTTTTTTTTCGTTTAAAACAATTATTTCATTTCTAATTAATGAAAATCGATATATTTCTTTCTTTTTTGCACTTTTAATTTTTTTGTGGATAGAATAACCGAAAAGTTCGATTATTAAATTTAGCAAAATTATTATTTAAAAAATCCAAAATTTAAAGATTCATCAACTGTATTTTTTTTTTTTTAATTAACCAAAAATGATTTCTTTTTAAAAAAATTAAAAATTTCTAAAAGCTAAACGAATCTCAGAGAACGAGAAGGCTAATTGTTTATTTCCATTTTCACAGAATGAAAACCGGAAAAAAAAATTTTTTTTTCGATTCTCTTAAAATAATTGTAAATTGCTGAATTGCAATTCAAAATTGCCTTATGTTTTTTGATTCTTCTTTAATTATAGTTTCTCGGAGAAGAGCGAAACGATTCGATTTCCTTATTTTACTTGGGTTTTTTTTTTCATATTGATAAAGTTGGCTTAGATATTTCAATTATATTGTCTCGACTAATCGGCAAGCAATATTTTAGATCCGACAAAAAAAAAAGTCGCAAAATCCTGATGATTAGTCGCATTATTGTCGATTTGTCGCATATTGCCAGAAGATTTATAGTAATTGTCATATTTTAGGAGTATATTGTTATATTAATTAGGAGAATTCGCTATTAATGGTTAGACTCGTTCAGCTGGCTTGTCGGATTAGGCAAAAATACTTGCGAATCGCTTGGTGATAGAAGTAAAACTGAAACGCTCTGGATTTTTGGATAGGTTTTTGTCGTAAGTGAAACATACTCAGCATAGGTGCTTTGAATTCTACAATAACCTAACCCACTAAGCCACTCTATTCTCCTTTGGTTCCTCCATTAGACCAAACGAAATATGTCGGCCGGTTTCTAACATAAATTGGCAAATGAGTTGAACCACTTGCGCCACTATCACGTTAACCTCACCTATAATATTAAATTAAAATTTAAAAAAACTGAGAAATTGAAACCGAAATCACAAAAAAATCTTTAAACCATTCGACTTATTTTTGGTGACAGGAATCTCCTCGCCTACAATATCTCTCAACATATTAATATTTCTATTCATATCATTAATTATTCTATAACTGACAACACCCAAGAGCGACCTTATAA